CACAGTGAGTTGGAGAGCCTTGAGGGCTAGGGGGAGAGGAGGAAGGCATGGTGGGTGCATGCAATCAACCGACTTTTGGCAACGGTAGACACAGAGCTTGTACCAGGTTCTCTTGTACGCTCAAGATCGGTTTTCGTAACTTGATGGTAGTCGCCTCTGCTGCTGCTGCTGCTGCTGCTGCTGCTGCTGCTGCTGCTGCTGCTGCTGCTGCTGCTGCTGCTGCTGCTGCTGCTGCTGCTGCTGCTGCTGCTGCTGCTGCTGCTGCTGCTGCTGCTGCTGCTGCTGCTGCTGCTGCTGCTGCTGCTGCTGCTGCTAACAGGCGTTATCCCAATGACTTAGGGTAATCCAGTTGGGCCTTGAAAATCACACGGAAGGCTGTGTTGGGGTCCACACGATGCCCGGAATCAACAGTGTGTGCGAGAATGGCGCTGTTTATGCTTTCGTTCCCCCAAAACGGGTCACGTGATAGATGCGCTGGACCAACACGGGAGCCACATCGGATTCTGGCAGGCGTTATCGGAATGCGCACCATAGCAAATGCTAACATTTCGGGGGGTGCGATGGCAGACCCAGTTGCTGGCTGACGCCGCGCACATTGGGACCCGTGCCACCTCCCCATTTTTGTTGTTTGTTAATATCCTGGTCGTTTGCTGTGTGGAACAGGGGATGTGAAGTGGAGCGCCAAGGTGCGGGCTCGACGGTGCCGTCCACCTTCGTCTTCCCCGCCTCCGATATTCCTGACTTTGTCTTGATACCGGGCCCAGGTGGGGATGAAGAGAGAGTGTGGTAGATCCTGCGCAAGTCACTGTGGCTGCTTCACCCTGCTGTGGAGTACACGACAGGCATCGTCGGATGCGACGGTCGAACTGTCTTTTATGCTTTTAATTTCGCTTTTTCGCGACTATGCCGGGAGGTGTTCCCGTAGTTGAATTGCTCAAAATGGGGACGAACTCAACTCGAATATGTTAAAGACCTAAACGCTAACCGGTAACAGTCTTGCTGACGCTGCCATAAGGATAATGGGGTAAGAAATTGGGAACTGCTCCATCCGCATCCTGACTGACCTGAAACTTGTGCATATCCAATTAAAACTGCTTTTTCCGGCACCTGAATCTTCACTAGACTGCATAAAAACAAACTCTGACGAAAAAGTAGGACTCCACGATGCACACGTGACCCAAATTACCGCAAGAACAGTGCTGATCTCATCAGCGTAGAAGCTGAAAAAAGTGCCTGCACATCGCCTGGCTCTTAAAGTTGGTTTGTAGAAAGGCCGCATGGGGCTTCGCTCCTGCGTCCTCCGTGCGTCAATCGATGCGCTGCCTGCGCGAGTGTGTTAGGACGAGTCACGTGAATGTTAACAGCGCTAAGTCAAGACAGAACGGAGCAGGCCGGATTATTATTGACACGATTGGTCCACACAAATATGAGCTTCGCCTACACGCTTCGCGTGTTGTTGTCGTCTATACATTCCTACTGGCCAAAGTATAATAAATACGAAGGCGAAATTTCGAGTTCCAGGCGTAAGCATAAGTAAAGAAGGGTCGTGCACCGGAACGTTTCTTTTATTGTCCTGAGTTCAGGAAAATAAACGAAGTGTTCCGGTGCTCGACCCTTCTTCTTCACTTATAATAAGTATTTCTGGGACGGACATTTACCCACAACTGGAGTTCGAACCCCGATCATCAAGCCTACACAACGACATTCAAATAACTATACTGGTGCGAACATGTCTCTCTCTCTCCCCCTACCAGGCAAATGGTTCTAGTCACACCTTTTAATAGTGAAAGTTGAGCGTATTCCAAATTACCGGTCTAGTTTTGTCTAACTCTATGGTTGGAACAAGAATTTTTCTTGCCTGATGTTTTGTATTCACACTCAAATCCCTAATCAGAGACAGATGTTTCCATCCGCGGCAGGCCTTGAAGATAGGATCAAGAGTGAAAGTGAGACATCAGACGAATAAAATTCTTGTTCCAGCGATAGCGCCTCCTTCCTATCCGCCGATTTTTAACTTTGAAAATTCATGAAGTCGACCAGGTATTAACCACGAGCCCTCCTTTTCACACGGACGCCTCAGCCAATCAGATAATCGTATCTTCCCTTTATGTCATTTTGTGGAACGTGGACTACCGCACTCGTTCAACGGGGCTTTATCAAATGGCAGTCACATGGGTATGACCGGCACGAATGGTTTTATTGCCCACCGAGACCATTCCGAGTCGACGATTGGCTGCTGCGATCCCGACAGACTAACAAGGAAGTGCACTTTCACAGTCGACCAAGTTGCGTGCGTTTAGACCGGCATCGGCTGCTGGGCGTCTAACCTTTTGCCACCGCTCTTCAGTCTCATACCTGCTCAATACCTAGTGTGAATCCCGCGAAGTCTGTGAGGAAAGAAATTCCCCTTAAGGTGAAAATTTTTGAATGCCTTACGTAATTGGAAACGAAACTATGAGAAGACAAGAACCGTTTAATGAAATTTCTGCACTGCGAATTGCGCTCCGAGGAGCAGATGTCATTGGAGAAGAACTAATATCTTACTATTTGTGATCTCGGGGCCTTCCGGAAATGCTCCTCTACTGCGGATAGAATGTTGCGATGCGCCCTCCCCGCCTCCGGTTTTCTTGACTATCTCTTGACATCGGGTCCAGGTGGGGGAGGAAAGAGTGTGATAGATGCTCTGCAAGTCCACTGTCACTATAAACTAATTCACACGCAAGTCACCGTGTCTGGTGCACCTTGATATGTAGCACACGGTGAATGTCGTCGGAATCGACGGTCGAACTGTCATATTGCAATGATAAGGACATCAGTGCAAGGCGAGAAGAGGAGAAGTGAGAGACAATGTATGTCTAACTCGGTCGTCTTTGATTGACCAAGCAGTTCTGAATTGCCCGTTACTGTCCAGTTGTGGGAATCCTTATGGCATGTTAACGTCGAAACCGACTAAGCAGTCTTGCATACTTGTTTCCTATCTCACCACCCCTCCCAGTCCGCCGAGAATGCACGGACGTTCACTTCTTCAGAGATTGGTGATGAGCTGCACTCATGGATGACAGCCAAGGAAGTCTTGTTGACGGTGTCGCGTGTAGCCCCGGCTGCTCGTTGGTGCAACACTTACCTACTTATTTTATTTAGGTAGGTCTGTTTTGGGTATCGTTAGCACAATTAGGATAAGGGTTAGATTTACAGGATTTCGGGATTGCGGTAAGGAATTAGGATTTTAAGTTAGGATCAGTGTTACGGTTCGAAGGTTGGAATTAAGGGTTGGGACTAGGATTAGGGTTTAAAAATTGGTTTTAGGGGTTAAGATTATCTCACGAAGACTCGAATAAAAGGCTCTATGCTGACTACTAAGTCACGGATGCCAGTAATGCCATGAGTCGCGGGATTGACCATGGTCCACTCACGAAGGCACAGATAACGGAACTCGTGCCGACTACCAACTTGCATTTACTGTTTTTGTGGATGATTTTCTCTTTACCTTCCCCAGTGTTCATTTTTCCATCCCTTGGCTGTTTGTTTGTCTAGATTGATTCTGGTTTGCCAGCTGTCCGTAATTAGGCTAATGAGCCAATTCCGTCTTTTCATATTTCCAAATATGCGCTTGAGTTTTCACCGGCTGTTGGTGTACTTAAACAAGATAATGGCTTAAATGCTATCTTTGACATTTTCTCTTCGTGGAGTATGCTGTCCACCGCCTATTCCAGCTTCACCTTTAGAACCCCAATTACCACCATTTCCGTA